GTATGAATTTTTAATATTTATGCCTTTGTGAAAATATAGGATTGTATTTTTGGGCAAAATTTATCAAATGTAACATGTGGTAGTTTACACATTCACAAAGAAAACTAAATTGAAGTACGCAAGCAAAATGAAAATTCAATTTCTAATTTTAAAATAAAAGATGGTTATAAAGAAATGAGGTGATGATTTCTTTTTTTAAGCATGTAAACTATACATTTGTTGTGTTCTTTTGTTTTCTTTGGGGAAATAAAAATGAATGAATGAATGGCTATGTGGTGATTGCTAACAGAAACAGCAAATGAAAATAGAAATGATACTTTAGAAGTGAAGTTTTCTTTGGGGTTTATTTTTCTCAACTTCTGGCCCACTGCTTGTCCCTTGGAAACATTTTATTTCAACAGCCAACTACGTATCTATTTAACTTTCCCAAAGAAAATGGTAGTAGTGCACTTTTCCTTGAATTATTAAAATTTTGTCATTGCTTAAACAGTAATAGTTTATGAAAAATAGTTAAGGAACTGTACTTGGTGGCAAGTCAGCTTGTTACAGACTTGAACACAGTTGGACAATATATTTATTATCTCTTGTCCCTTTCACTCAGCAATAGGGTGTCACCAAACAAGGTGATAGGTTGAAAATTACACTAACTTGTAACCAGAGTAAGACAGACTTGAGTCCTTGATACATGGATGTTCTTTTTTTTTTTTTTTAAAGACACAGAAAACAAAACAAAACAAAACAGTTTGTGCCAAATACTTACGAGATTGGAAAAGGTTTGAAGAGGTCCTCATTTATAGCGATGGGACAGGTGCAGCAGGTCTGGAAGCATGGTGCAAGAATGGCTGACTACATATTTAAAATTCATTAGAAGTGCACAGTCGGGCCCTCCCTGGTGCTGCCATGGGTTACAGTGCAGCGCTGCAAGCCAGCTGCAGCCACCGCAGTGCGAGTTCCAAGCCCTGCCTCGGAGGTGACCCACATGGCGCGGCACACCTCTCCGGACTCGCCCCCGGCTCCCCTCAGCAGTGTACTTCATCAGTCGGCCTGTCCTGCTTCCCACTGTCGCTGGTGAATCTTCTCACCACCCCTGCGCCTCTGGCCTGTACCCTAGTTCTGTATGCACAAATTAAATCTTTGGGGGAAAAAAAAGTACGCAGTCTTCTCAGATGTATCATTATTCCACTGCTTTTGCTTGTCCCTTTTGAATAAGATGACTAAGTCTGGAATGCCTACCTAGTCTTCTGTCATCATTCACTTAAAATTTGCTTTCTTATATTAAAAAAATTTAATTTGGCACCTCCCTGGTGGCGCAGCGGGTTAAAGCACAGCATTGAGAATCTAAAGCCGCCTCAGCATAAGTTCGATTCCCGCCTGCCCCGGAGGTAACCACATGGCGTCACAGACCTCTCCTGGCCCGCCCGCTGCTCCCCTGAGCAGTGTACTTCTTCGATCTGCCTGTTCTGCTCCCCACTCTGTCTCTGGTGAAGCCTCTCACTGCCCCTGAGCCTCTGGCCTGTACCCCAGTTCTGTAGGCACAAATCAAAAAAAATTTAATTTGTACTTTCTTGATGCTTTTTGTATACACTTGCTGAATCATAATTGTTTATGTCTGTATTCTCTACTACTCTTGAATCCTGAGACTTAATAGATGTTTAATTAATACTGGCTACAGAAATGAATACACGTTTGTTTTAATAGCATACTACATAAACTGGGTAATAATAAGAAAATGTGGTGATTATGTGAGGAGCCCCTGTGAATTTATTTTTCTTCTAAATAATTATAAAATATTTTTCTTGTTATGGAAATATGTGGGGCGTTCCTTTTTTCCCTCATGTCCTTTTTTGCTGATGCATAAATACTCCTTTTATTTAGTAAAATATAGTCAAATGATACAGAAGTATGTAAAGTAAAAACTACCTGTAATTCTTGCCCAATGATGGTCATTGTTTCTTATTTATGTTATGTTCTTCCTTTATCTCCCCTCACTTCCTCTCTTATGCCTTTCTTTCTCCTTTCATTTTGTTCCAAATACTATATGCACAAGCCCTTTCTAAAGATACTGCTTTGAAATATAGACTCTTTACTTTAATTCTTCATTTTGTGGGTATCTTTCTATAATTGTGCCCCATGCAAAATATACTTTGATAAGTCAGTGTATATTTTCAAACTTTAATATGGGCTTTCGTTTTAAAAATGTTTTCGTCCTAGTTTCTATGATTTTTTCCCAATTTTTGATAAGCTAGAAAAAAGAAAATTATGGGAAAGAGAAAGCACATACATACTTAATGGGGAAAAAAATCCACATTTAACTGGACTTGTGCTTTTATAAAATCACAATTCTTTTTGAAGAGAGAAAGCATAAATATCTTATTTAGAAGGTCATATATCATTTATTATCTGAATTACTTAACAAATGAATGTATAGTGTTCATATTTTTCTGTCATTTCTTTCTTTCTGTTTAATACTTCCTCAGCCTTTTTCACACTTCCTTATGAGTGGAGATGGTTCCACGACTGGCTTTGGTAAATATACACTCTGAGGAACACCAAGTGCTCCCGGGAGACCTTAGGCTCTCCCATTAACAATGTATCGCCCATCCCATGTTGATGTTTTATTGCCTCCAGCAAACCTCATGCCCATCCTCACCTTCCTCTGTGTTTTTCTAGTTCTCTGACTGCTGCATCTCCTTTAGCTTATTTTCCTCTGTCTGGTTAAAGTTGTTTGTATTCCTCAAGATCCAGTGTTTTTATCCTATCCATGTACCTTCAAGGCAATATCATCTATCACTTCTCCTCAACTCTGTGTGAGGACTCCCAAGTTGACCATGCCAGTCTAGACTACTGGTATGGCTTTCACGTATTTAATGCCTTGTCTGTTTTTCTGCGTGGATTCTCTGAGAATTTTTCAAATTCATTTATTCAATACAATAATGCTATCTTATTCTCCCTTCCTTTGTTCCTTTCCCATCTATTTCCCCACTCTTAATTAAAACGTCTTTGTACATAGTGTGTAACCAGAAACTCTTTTACTCATCATCTCCAGCCCATCAACAAGTGAACCTTTATCATATTCTAAACTTTCAAAGTTTATGGATGTCAGGTGCCTCCCTGGTGGCGCAGCAGGTTATAGCACAGCACTAAGAAGCTTAAGCCACTTCCGCATGACTTCAAATCCCTGCCTGCCCCGAGGAGATCCACATGGCGAGGCAGACCTCTCTTGACCTGCCCGCTGCTCCCCTCAGCAGTGTACTTCATCAATCTGCCTGTTCTGCTCCCCACTCTGTCTCTGGTGAATCCTCTCACCCTCCACAACTCTGGCCCATACCCCAGTTCTGTATAAATAAATGAACAAATCTTAAAAAAAAAAAGTTTATGGATATCTTAGTTTTAATTTGTTGTGTAACTTACCTCTCTACAAATCTTACACTTTAAAATAATTGTGATTTTTAAATTTTTCTACCTTGTAAGGCTATTCTCTATATTTTATTTTTCTTTAAAAAATTGAAGAAGTGGGGTCCTTTATTTTTAAGTTATGTGTGGTCTCATAAATCAGTGTTAACTATAATTAAGAAAAAAAAAAACTACAGGAAAGTGTCTCCTCAGGCAATCTAGATGAACTACAGATCTGTTTGTTAAACCTCCTAAATTTTGGCCTCACAATTCCTTTGTAAGGATGTTATGGTTATGTTTGTATCTTTCCAATACTGAGTCTTCCCACCCAGGAAAATGTTGCATACTTTGATTTAATCAAACACTACATTGCTACTTGCTGTGCTGGGCTGTTTTCCTGTGCTGCTTTTTGGTTTGTCTAAAGTTTACCAAGACAAATCTAGGTGCTATTGTGCTATTTCATTCAAGTAGTGATTATATCAAGTTTTTCCATTCAAACCTATCATTCAAGTAATGAGTATATCAAGTTTTTGGCTCATAGGAAAACTTTTAAGATGTATAGTCCTTTGATTTTATAAATTAGATAAGATAAAATACAGATTATAATTTTATTTCCTTTTAAAGATCTTCCTAACATTGTTGATTAAAACCCTAGTTTTCAATACCCTTGACTGTATTGACTATTAAGATAAATACAGTATGCTTTACCAATAAACATATTTTGTGTTTTTCTATAATAAATGTTGAGTGGAAATTTTGTTTTGCTTACTTAATTTTTTTAAAGATTTATTTATTCATACAGAAGTGGGGTACAGGCCAGAGATGCGGAGGGTGAGAGGATTCACCAGAGACAGAGTGGGGAGCAGAACAGGCCGACTGACAAAGTACACTGCGAGGGGAGCAACGCCGGGTGAGGGGGTGTCTGCCACGCCAGGTGGATCTCCTCCGGGGCAGGCGGGGATCGAACTCATGCAGGAGTGGCTTCAGATTTTTAGTGCTGCCAGCTGTAGCACCAGGGAGGGCCCTGCTTACTTAATTTTTGAATTAGAAATGGATGTTAAATTGTATCAAAAATTTGCTTCAATCAATTAAATAGTTGAAATCTTTTTCTTTAGCTTATTTATGTGGTTAGGGTTAGTAAATTTTTAACCATACAGAATACTAAAAAAGAGTGTCTACCTGAAGATAGGTGAATTATTACAAGGAGAACATACTTTTGAGTAAATCTGAGGTCAAGAAATGGAGCTTTCCAGCCACTGCAGAAGCTCTTCCAATAATTTTATGCTAATGGAGGCCCTCTTTCCTCCCTCATAATGAACCATTTCTCATGTTCAGAATAACCTATTTAATTTCTTTACGCTATCACCCCAGTATGCATTGGAGACACTATGAGTATGTCTAGTGTTACCCAATTTTAAAAACTGTTTTTTTTCCCTTTTTAATCTTTCTTTCTTCATGGTTTCTTCCACTGATCCTTTCTTTTCATTACAAGTGATCTATTGAAGAACCTGTGCTGTTTGACTGTAGCCTGTCTGAATTTTGTTGGTTTTATAGTCATAATGCAACCCCATTTTTATTTTTCTTTTTCATTTTCTCGAACTTGGCAGGTAGCATCAGAGCTTTCTTGGATTGAAGCTGTTTGTTTCGGGAAGACAAATCTCCGTGCTATTGTGCCATTTCATCGGTAGGCACATAATGTCTTTACCTTTTTAAATGTTGACAACCATTGATGCTAAAAGCCTAGATCCAGCAACTCATTATTTTATTTGCTTTATGACATTCTTGTAAGGAGAAATGAATTTTGTTTCAGCTTGTGACTTCTAAGAGGGATTTTTTAACATTAGAGAAGTCTAGGTTTTGATTATGGCTGGCAGATGTTGTCTGCATTTTCACAATATATTAAGGTGATCTTTTTCTCAATTTGTATATGTTCGAATTGGTTTTTGTAAAGAACTTTTATTTTGCTTGTGTTTTAAATGTTTTCTGTTTAAAGTTTAAATCAAATTAATGGAGTCTTCAAGTGGTTTGTATTTTCATTAATGCTTCTCTATGTGACCAACCAAGTTATGGTAGTAGGTTTGCATTTTGTCTTATATTTTACCATCTTATATTTCTTTTTTTTTTTAATCACATCTTTGTATAATTTTAATCACATCTTTGTATTTTGGGAATATAGGGACTCCTCCTTCGAGTACTAGCACCCCAGTGCACCTACCACCACGGCATCTGTGGCCCTCCCTAGAAAGATGACCCTTGTTATAGTGTCTTAGGATAGAGTGGAGCGGTCACCATCATGGGGGCATCGAGGTCACATAGGGTGTTTCTAATTTTTTCAATAATCTAAACGATAATGGAAAACTCTGATTAAGATGTTGGTGACAGGGAATAAAAGACAGATCTGAAATATTTATGAAATAGATATAGAAAAGAGGAGAGATGAAATGTCCTGTGTCTAGTGTGACACAGGACATTTGTCTAGTGTGACAATTAAGAAATGAGAGTGTGATTGACCATGTGATTTAGAATAAGTGTTGACTTAAGTTTGTTGCATGGACCAAGTCATGCGATCTGTTTGTGTACAGCCTACAAACTAAGAATGGTTTTCATGTTTTTAAATACTTAAGAAAAGTTTTTTAAAGTTTTTTTTTCATATCTTATGTATGAAATTCAAATTTCAGTGTCCATAAATAAAGTTTTATTGTAACACAGCCATGCTTAAAGCAGAGTTGTGTAGTTCAGACTGGCTAAGAAATCCTAAAATATTTACTATCTGGCTTGTTGCAAAATAAGTTTGTCTACTAGCTAAGAAATACCTTTTTCTTCTTTTTCTTCCTTATTTTCATTCAGTTTGGTGTTCCCAACCAATAATTTATTCAGGACTATTTAGAAAACCGTTCCTAAACATAACTGTGTACATTCACAACGCACATGACCTTTAATTTTTGACCACAGTAAATTTCATTTCCTATGTAAATTTACTTTTGGCCTTTTAAAATTATTATTAAAAGTTTTTGAAAGAGATATCTATTGGATATCAATGATGAGCTGTTATATCAATGGTTTTCCTAAATGCCATTCAGATAGTCTTGACTTACTATTATTATTAAATTATACTTTAAGGTGATAATTTTATAGTGTACATTGAGTTGCATTTGCATTATCCTTAGCGTTCCATTTTCTATGCACTCAAAGCACAAAGACTTTGAATTGTGATAGCAGGATTGTGGTTATGAAAAGTTGACATAACTGGAGCCACTTTAAATACTGGTGGAACAAGACGTTGCAGAAAAGTTGTTTGGCTGTGCTCTCTAAATCATGCCCTACCTCTGGACTGGGCCAACCTGCCAACATTCTAAGAAGCCAGCAATACTGGAATATTCTCTTTGAAAGAGCTGATCAAGTGAACTTTTACCTACTTAGACCTTTGAAACCCTTCCACGCCATCATTTCTACACTGTGTCTCCTTCCTCTGACCATTACTTCATCTTTCCTTACCTCTTTTTTCCTTTTATTTTTTATGAAAAAGCCCTTGGCTTTGTCCCTCTGTGGTCCGATGGGTTTTTATCCCCATTCATGCTCCCACAGTTGCAATTCTTTGATCCCAAATAAATGTACTTTGCTTTTTCAGTGGCTTGCTGAGCTTTATGTTAACCTGATTTTATTAAAGGTTCAGTTTTAGAGTTAACTTTCATTATTTACAGAGTAATAGTGTATTTGTTAACATATTATAGAATTCAGTTTTAGCAAAACAAGGATTCTTGACAAAAGTCTCATGTGATAACATTTGTATAGGTGGGGAAAAGAATTTGGCAGTTCCCCACACATGAATGGTTTCTGGAGTCCATGAGGAGAGGCACTTGTAGTTCATGGGAGCTTCTAATATTTTTATAATAGTTGTACTGGATAATCCTAAGGAATTCACAATTCTTCTTGCTTTGGGTATGTGTTTCTATCTTTCTCTGAATTTATATCCTGTCTTACTTAAATTTCTGATATTTATACTCTGGCAAATTATAAAAGGTACCTTTTAATTAATTTCATCTTCCTATGACTGTCACAAATACAACAAGTTCCAGAAATGGATGTTGCAAAATAAATTCCATTTTAATATTTGTTAACAGGAAAGCACATTCTTAAACTTTGTATTTTTATTTAGACAAGTGGTGTTTTGAAACAAAAACTTCTTATCCCATCAAGTAACAAGACTCCTAACTATCTTGTTTAAATTTTTTCCATGGGCATTGACTTAATTTTTACTGTGGTTTAATTCTTAATTTGCAGTGTTTTATCTAGTTCTGTTACCAAGGAGTAGTTAGAAGCAATAGTTTCATTTGCCTACTGACAAATATTTACGAATGAAAACAACTTTTAGTTCATGCTAAGCAATTTTTAATTTTATTTTATTTTGTGTTGAAGTAGTAAAGGTCTTTAGGTTGTGTGATACATGTTTTCTGCTGTATAACAATTTAAATTTGCTTTGATTTTTCCCTAAATTTTTGAATGTTCTTATATATATAATTACCAATGTCTCAAATTTTCCTTCCGCTTGATTAACGTCCCTTCTAGTCTCACTTTTTATAGTCACCGAAATAAAGGAAATGGTCAGTGAGGATAATTCACTGTTGTTTGTAAATTATTGTTCTCTGTGCAGTTAATAATGGTCACTTCCTGCTCTTAAGGAGTTTATAACCTGTAACAATCATTTATGAAATGTTTCCCTAAGTACTTAGTTAATAAATTATGAATTTGAAAATGAGTTACCCTTTTGATAAATTAGAGCTGATTTAAGATTATCCTTTAAAAATGTCACCTATGATCAATTGCATTCTAATAAGCTTTTAGGAGTGGGGCAGAAAAGTGTACAACAGGCACGCCATGATCAAACCCTGTGCGCATCAGTGGGTATTATTTTATTTTGGTATTAGCATGTAAAATGGGGTTGAAAAGAAGGGGAGAAATCAAGACTCAGAGACAGGCTCTGTGGTTAGCATAATGTCTTAGCCAGCACAAGGAGAGCCTGAGCTGGATAATAACTAATGAATAGACGTGTGGAGGATAAATACATGATGATAAATACAAGTAATGGAAATAAATTTTAAATCATTGGAAATTGCTTGTGTTTTTTATAGCTGAAAAACTATTGATTATCAGCAATTTTATATACCTTCATTATCAACTGGAGTTTATAAAGAAAAACACAAATATTAAATGTTTGAAATGAGAAAAACTGAAGAAGGGCCATATTGTTTATGAGGAAAGAGTCAGTGACACTAGAATAGAAAGATTTTATGGAGATGTGTTTTCTAACTTCCAAATCCTCAGTATCTTTTAGATTCTATCTCAGATCTCATTTGTGTAAAGCTTTTATTCAGCATCCAAGAGCAGAAAAATGTTCTGTGATAGTAGAAGATGAAGAATCTGTGTGGTCATGAACAGACAACACTTTCTGTTGATTTTCTAGAATTTGTCACTGACCAAAAGAGAACTAAAGAGCATTTGAGTTTTTGTAGTTCTCATTTTCACACAGTGTATGCTCAAACAGAAGAAGTCTCTTTGACAGACGTTTCTGTCCACCGTTCTGTTTCTTCTTCTCACAGTCCTTTAGGGACATGCAGCAGGTCCAGATCCTCAGAGCTTCCCCACTGATTGGATGAGCGATGAGTCTGGAGAGCTCTGACTAAAGCTTCTGAAATTGCCCCTTCATGAGCAAACATGTTATTCTGATTCTTTTCAAAAGATATTTCTGAATCAGTTCCTTTTAGGAAATGGGATTAGTGAAAGGCTCACTAATGGATTTTGATTAAGGTCTTTTTGTATTGACTGATACTGCTTTATAGTGACCTTGAGCTATTATTTAAATAGGTTATCTCATATGCAGACTTTTCTCACCAAATATACTTACTCTCATGTAGAGTAGGGATTCCATTAAATATGCCCTTTAACCCTTACTTTAAAAGATAGGTGCCATACAAGCAAGATATCACATCCACATAGTAGACTATGTATGATTAATGGATTTTTGGCTAGATAAACACATAGCTAATTAAGAAGCTAATTCAAGTCAAATTTTGTTGTTAAATGGCTACATAAAAGTTAGGAAACTGCTTTGGTTTTTGGAGGATGTGGACATGTCCGTATCTATGTTCTTGTGTTAATATATTTATGAATAAAATGTCCAGTATGGATTTTCTGAATCAAGAGAAAATGCATTTGTAGTTTTGTTAAACGTTTCCAAATTCCCTTGTTGAGCCTTTTCCTATACTTTCCAGCAACATTGTAGAGAGAGCTGTTCTTTCCCACTCTTTGCACTTGTGTGTGTTGCTAGATTTCAGGAGTTTTGCCAATCTGATTAGTGAAAAATAGAATCTCATTATAGTTTTGCAAAGGACATTTTCAAAGATAAGGAATGACTGTTCATCTGGCTTTGATTGTGAACTTCTTGTATTAACGACGACCCTTTTAGCAGTGACTGTAAGAATTCGTTAAATAGCAGCAGGAGCACATGGCATTATTCCCTGTCCTTTCTTAGCCCTCGCCCCGCCCCTTTTGTCCCTACTATGGGGGCCCAAAGTTACATTTTGTACCCAGTACATTAATCCAGTAAAAAGCGAACAGCTATGTAGTAAAATTTGTGGTGGTATTTCTGTGAGAATTACAGCTAGAACTTTAATATATTAAACAACA